GTCAATGTTGAATGGGACCAAGCAAGACTAATGCAGATAGTCCGAGACAGGAGACACCGACATTACGCGGAAGCCTGGCAGATTTGTAAGGCAAAGCATAAAGGCCTTGCAGTCAACTTCCGGGAATCGACTAAAATATCGGCAGCATGGTCCTCTAGCTTAATATAAAATTAATAATTGAAGAAAGTAGTTAATATGTATCTCAAGTTATATTTTTTGAACGATGTAGGGAGATGGCATCTTTAAGTATTTATATTTAGATAGTTACGTAACCTTTTATATTTCCGGTTACACTGACGTCATGTACAACGGATTATAAGCGAGTTCGAAAGATTTGAAAAAACAGTTATTTGTACTAAGCGTTCGATTTACGATTTTGTTGTTTATTTTGTTACTTATTTAATTTTATTTTCTTGAGAAAGGTCTTTTAACAAGACCGAAAACGTTTGAAAGTTGTTATAATAAAGCGTTGGCTGCAAGAAAAGGTGTTTTAGTAAGTGTTTTGATATTTTAATAAATATTGATCAGTTTTATTTAAATTTTTATTAACTTGTTTACAAATTATTTATAATACAATAATACCTTGGTTTTCATTGCCTTCAGTTATCGTAAGTTTTGGTTTCGTCGATTTTTTTGTGAAAAATTTGTCTTGGATTTTGTCGACATTTCCATGTGTCCTTGCTGCTAATTTTGTGAAACCACATGTTTTCTTGCTCAGTGTAGCTTCATCTCTCATTGTATGAGTATTATGCCACGCGTCTAGCCAAATAATGGACATATTCAAAATCTCGGCATGCAGCCAGCACCTCTTAGTACCTCTGTTAAAAATCTCAGATAACTTCTGGTTGCTGCCAGTGAGCTTCCAGCAAACTGCTAGTGTCTTTTTCTGTACTTGATACACCAGCAAACAAGATGGCAGCCACCATGAAGCTTGTAAAAGCTCTATTTTCATTGACAATTATGAATTTAATTTATTTGCTGATGAATAAAACCTGAATAAATTAATATTAGGTTAGTACATTAATTTAAGAGATTATACTAGTATACTGTAAGGTCTCTTTTTATGCGGATTATTTTTATGCGATTTTGAAGTTGTGCGGTTTGTATTTCATCCAAAAATTTCTTGGACAAACATACATATAGGCTTGTTTAGGAAGCCCGCGTATAGACAGTCCCCAAAAATCGTGGAACGCTCAAAGCTCACTCCATTTGTTCCACTGACATATAACGTTTATGGATGTAAAGGACAGCTAGATCTACCTTAATCGCTTTAGTTCCTAGCAATTTTTGATATAAATGTAATAACATAAAAAGTTAGTAGAATCATCATCGCAAAGTTTAATTACTGATTACATTGTCAGAAAAGAAAGAGCTACACAGAATGAGAATGAAGTTTGTGGAAATCCATCGCCTATACCGCAAATATCTATTGCAGAGACAGTCTCTTCTGATGATGGTGATTTGGAACCACTTCGCAAACGATTATTTTCTAATCATTATCAGATAGCGATAATGATTAGAAAATGTAAAACTATATTACTTTTCAATAAAATAAACTGAATTAAGTTTGAATACAAGTTTATTTTAAGCTTTTATATGAATTTCTTTCAGACATTCGAAGTAATTTATTAAGCAGCTTATTTTTTTTAATTTCTGCAAACTTTTTTATGCAGTTTTAAGTTAATTTTAACTCGTTTTGGTTTTATGCGACTTTAGAAAATTACGGAACGTATCCCTACTTTTTCAAGGCAAGTAAAGTCTTTTTTTATACGAATTTTTTATATGCGCTTTTCTGTAGAACGTATCCACCGCATAAAACGAGACCTTACAGTATTTATGTAAGACATCACATAATTCTTTTTAGTTGTTAAACTATAATCTTAGGATTGATTTAATTATTTAAACTTCTACAGAAACTTAAAAAATCTTCATCCCTATTTCTTTTTTCGAAATATTAGTTTTTCATTAAGCTGTTCTCATTAAATAAGTTTAAAAATAAATTTAAAAACATGGAAGTCATCATCATTTGCTATTTTTATTGTTTTTCTCTCCTGAAATTTCTGGCAGTCAGTGTTTGTGTTCTCTAGAAAACACCAGCCATTGCATCACTTCCAGCAGCATCTCACTGGATTGATGCTGAGATTTTGAATACACCCAATTCCATTGCTTTCCTTTTAGCTTTATCATGGGAAATGCCACGTTAAATGTTCATTTATTCTTTACATCAGTCTTTTATATTTATTTTATATTAATTTCTTATTGTTTTTAGTATTAAATACTATATTTATTTTCTATAAAATGCGTTTTTTGTATATATTTTGGAGTGTCTAGAACAAATTAATTGGATTTACATTGATTCATATGAAAATAATTGCCTTGGTTTTCGTCGGTTTTGGATTTCACCGATTGTTTTTGGACAGATCATCAATGAAAACGAAGGTATCATTGTATATCTGAAATATATCAATATATAATATATCATACAGTTAATTTCAGATGATATTTTTGTGAGGTCCCAGAAGGAAGTCAACATAGAGGTCCGAACGGGGACTATCAATTGAGATATTAAAATCTTTTATAACTCAAAAGGGAGAAATTAAAGATGTCAATTAAACAATGAAAGTTTTTTTTTGTAAATTATTTAAACAATAGAAAAGATTAAAGTCGAGGGAAACATGGCTGGAGAGGAGTCATATTTAGTCGCAAAACTGACCTTTCCCATGCCCTCTGATCGGTTTGAAATTGTCACCAGGTGACGAGTAGAGACCAATGAAAAGGCGGCTTTAAGGGAAAAACTTATAAAACCGTGAGTTTCAAGGACAGGACATTCCTGGTTCATAGTGCTCCTCTCTTGGATTTTGTGCTCCTGTCCTTCAACAACGAAAGCTTGTTCGACGTCCTGGGATTCATTTTCACTATCCCGTCCCATCAAGATTTGCCTAGGTACACCTAGTCATTGGAGGTCATCTCTGCAAGTTGTGTTGTGTGCCCTGGGGTTGTCACTGTTCACATCACCTTTGCCAGAAGAAAAGAAACAATCATTATAAAATTTGGACTTTTGAACGGACTTGTTGCCCACTTTGGGATAGGCATTATGTCTCCTTATAAGAATAGTTGTAAGAAAATTTATATATATATATATTAAAGAGTTTTAAATGGAAAACCTGAGTCAGTAAGTCTTTCCACTCCCACATGACAGTATTAACTGCTCAATTGTCATGATTATTTCCACCCAAGCAGCTAACCTCACATTTTAATGTCTTAATATGTATGTAAAAATATTATTACAGAAGAGTTCATCATGTCTTACAATAAATAAATTTTACATTATTAATTAGTCTGAAATATATAAATTAAACTATTTAATTTTCAGTATATATGATATTGCAGGTGAACTTTGCAGAACAGTTTGGAATCAAAGGAGTTATATTATATCCAGATCCAGCAGATTATGCAATGCATGGCTTAAAAGATGTTTACCCTTCATCTATACATCTTCCTTCCTTGGGTGTTCCATATTCTTCTTTAAATCTGTTAAAGGGAGATCCACTTACTCCACTCTATCCTTCTATAGGTAAGGTTAAATAATAGTTTAAGTAATTTGAAATTAAGCTATTAATGTATGAACATATTAAATGTATTTTTACAGTTATTTGTATAATATTAAATTAATAATAAATTTTATATCCATTTATTATTATAAATTATGCTCAACACTTAAGGTACATATTGTTGAATTTATCAAGAAATATTATGTTAAATAAATTGCACTATAAACCTATTGTCTGGTGTTGGTAATAAGTAACCTGCACAAACATTTTTTGGGCTTTTCCAGAGTCCTGCTTCAGGTGAATCATGTTGTTTCTTTGATAAAACATAATCACAAAAAAATAAAAATTTGAATGTCTGTTAAAAAAATGAACAAAATCCAATATTCATTAAAAATCAAATTAATTTTAAAAAACAGAATGTGTTTGGGCTTCTGCTTTAACAGAACTAAAAACAGAATAAAATACTTTGATTCAATATGGGCATGCAGATATTGAATTTTGTTTATTTTTGAACAGACATTTGAATTTTTATTTTTCTGTGATTGTGTTCTATCAAAGAAACAATGTGATTCACCTGAAGCAGGACTCAGGAGGAGCCTGAAAATGCAGTTTACTGTACATATTATTGTGAAATCCGCGAATTTACGCCAATGTTGGAAAAATCTTTGTAAACAACTCCGAGGAAAAACCCACTCTTGGTGAGAAGTATATCGGAGGTCACCGATTGTTTTCACATTATGGTGGGAAAGTTGACAGTTAGTTGATTGGAATGCACCGTAANTGACTTTTATAATTGAAAATGTTCTAAAGAATAGAAATATAAAATTTAGATATATTTGATTCATATCACCTTATATTTTAAATATTGTATAGTTTAGTAATTAGAGTTTGATGATTGTATTTTTTTATCATTAAAGTGAAAGCATAATTTTTTTTTAATTATTATAGAAAATGCTTACAGGATTCAAGAAGAAAAAGCTAAACTTCCTAAAATCCCTGTATTTCCTATAAATTATGAAGATGCTAGTTACATATTAAGGCAAATATATTTTTGAATTTTATTAGATATTAAAATTTAATAATATAGTGTGTATATAATAATTATTTATTTAAGCCTACAATAGACAAATTGAAACAAATCTGCTCCTATGAATAAACTGATTTAAAATGTTCTTTATTCATAATTTTTTTTAAACAATATCTTTTTATCTTACTCTAAAGCATTATTAATCTAGATCAGTGATTTTTCAAATTGTGTGCCACAAGAAGATCATAGGTGTGCTGTGAAAATTTTTGAAGGTTATTAACCTGTTCTTGACGGCCAGTGTATATTATGCCGTTGCGTACACCGCAATTTTTAATGTTAATGTTTAGTTAAACATAAAAAAATACTTAAAACTGAAAAAAAAAAGAAAGAAATATGTTAATTTTGAAGAAAAAGCTTCAAACTTTATTTTCCATTGTCTCACCTTTCTGTGAAATTTGACGCTGATGAGTCATTGTTTACACAGCTGGATGACTTTGAACACAGCTGGAGTTGGATTTTCCAGGACATTCTCATAGAAGTCTCGGGAGGCGATGGGTTTATAGTAGGGTGAATACTAGCTGGCCGTATATTTTTAAATATTTTTAAAAAATTAAAATTTTTATTGTGCTTTCCGACCTCCCCTAATTAATTAAATTTATATAAAATAAAATATATTAATTAAAAAAATTAAAAAACTATTGGAGGTCGTTTTTGACATCAGAAAGTAGCTTTAAATAACTTTACCGAAGGAAAATCCGTGCGCTAGAACTTTAGAACGATGAATTAAATTTGATAAAAAAAATCCCATTAAAAATAATTAAGCCTTAATTGAGCCTATATGATAATAGGCTGAAAAGTTTTGTCCTTGTTATGTTATTTTTATTAGAAATTATTATTTGAGTTAAAACTGCTAGATAGCTGTTTGACTTAAAATGGTGACTTGTCAAGCAAGCTGTTCCAATCAACAATTTGTTATTGAATTTCTTACAGCTGAAAATGAGGTGCCAATTAACATTCATCAAAGAGTGGAATTTTCAGAATTTATTTAGTTTTAACATAGAAATTTTAAAAATAATGGAAAATTTGTTTTGAAATAAAGTAAAAAGAAATGGCCAGTTCTAGATTTGAATTTGAACATAATACTAGATAATTATTCCAAAAATTTAAATCTAAAATAAATATACAGTAGAGCATCGATTATCCGACCCCCGATTAACCGTCACATCGGTTAACCGACCGTTCTAGTCGGCAGATTCAAATGTCCGCTAGTGATGTGGCGCTACAATATTTGGCTACGCCTTGGCTACTTTAATAGTACTTTTACGTGTTTTAGCTGGCAATACTGGCTCAACCATAAAAGGGAGCCAGTATTTAAACAAGGCTTAATTTTCTAATTTTTAACGATACAATAGCAACAATTATTATTTTAAAAAAGTTTTGTTAGGCTTAACATCGATGAAAATTCAACGCAAGTAGGTTAATAGCGATATACTAATATACTAATTACATGAGATATACTAATATACTATACTAATAATGTATTTTTTCATATTTTTCGGTTATCCATTTTTTCAGTTATCCGACCAACCCCAGTCCCCAATTGAGTTGGATAATCGATGCTCTACTGTATATATATAAAATCTAAAATAATTATATATATACAAGGTCTGTTCAAAAAGTATCGGACCTTTTTTTTTCCGCGTAAACCAATGATGCGCGACAGGCCTTTTTCGGTGGAGTTGTAGAGGGGACAGTCATGCACAGCCCTGAATTTTTTCCCGCCTGCAGGAAGCATCAGTCGTTGGCAATCGGCCTATGAGTGACTCCTTTAGTGGAGTTGTGGAGGGGACAGTCATGCACAGCCCTGAATTTTTTCCCGCCTGCAGGAAGCATCAGTCGTTGGCAATCGGCCTATGAGTGAGGTCATGTAGTGCGCTGTCGTCGGATTTCACTAAGCTGGAAAATGACTGAACAACGTGAGCAGCGATATTACATCAAATTTTGCCAAAAACCTTGGCGATACCCAAGCGTAAACCATTCGCAAGATTCAGCAGGCTTTCGGGGACGATCCTCAAGGCCAAAAAAAGTGCGACAGGTCCGCAGCAATATCAAAGGTCATGTTGACAGTTCTTTCGACTCTCGTGGGGTGGTGTGTCGTGAGTACGCACCACAAGGCCAAACCATCACAAAGGAGTACTACCAGGAAGTCCTTCGTCGTTTTCCAATGCTGTGCGACGCAAACGACCGGATCTGTGGTCGATCAAAACTTGGCAGCTCCATCATGATAACGCATCCACCCATTCTGCGCATCTGATTCGGGCTTTCGTCGCCAAACATTACACTCCTGTGGTTCGTCACACTCCGTACTCTCCCCACGTGGCTCCGTGTGACCTTTGGCTATTTCCCAAGCTGAAAATGCTGCTAAAAGAAACCTGAATTTAGTCGAGAGAAGACATCGTGCAAAATCCGACGGACCGGCTGATGGCCATTCCAAAAGATGCGTTTCAGCAGTGTTTCCAGCAATGGCAGGAACNATTGTGTTCTATCAAAGAAACAATGTGATTCACCTGAAGCAGGACTCAGGAGGAGCCTGAAAATGCAGTTTACTGTACATATTATTGTGAAATCCGCGAATTTACGCCAATGTTGGAAAAATCTTTGTAAACAACTCCGAGGAAAAACCCACTCTTGGTGAGAAGTATATCGGAGGTCACCGATTGTTTTCACATTATGGTGGGAAAGTTGACAGTTAGTTGATTGGAATGCACCGTAAGTGTCAACAGAAGTCGATCACGTGACTCATTTCCCACGAATAACATATAAAAGCTCGAGTCCCCGAAAGCTCCGAGCAATCCCTCGGAAGTTATACTTGGTAGATGTGCCGTATTTGTCTCCATACTTCGGACCGAAAGGACATACGACCAACCACAGCCATTTGAACTTCCATCGCCATTAACGAACCTATTCAACGAACACCTATTAGACATATCCGCATAGAGGTATTTGTACTTGTTAGAGCTTTGTGAACTCTCTCTCAGACTAGCAGGTAAAGCTATTAGAGCGTCCCTTTTGTATAGTGAACTTATTTAATCACATTTAACCTATGTATCTTAGCTTAGTTATATACATAAATGCTTGTTTAGTTTTTAAACCTGTCTCCTGTCTCTGAAGGACACCTGCCGACTTACCGACGCACTCCCCACTCAAATTTTTGCCCTCCTAGCCATCCGACAAGCTGAGAACGGGTTTTACCAACCTGTTGCAGAGTAAGTGGTCATTTGGGATGAGCCCAGTGGCCCACTGCTAATCGCACATTATTGACACTACACAATAGTTTTATGGTGTATTTATTTGTCATCCAGTGAGTGTGTTTTTCATGTTATGTTAAATTTAAATATACAATAGAACTTCTCCAACTCAAACATCAGTAACTTGAATGTTTCTTTAACTCAAAGAAAATGAAGCACTGGATAGATTTCAATGGACTGGCATAGGGATTTAACAACTGCAACTTGGGTTTCCTTTACTCGAATTTTCTCCAAGTCTAAGATTTTCATAGCCCCCTGATACTAATTTATGTTACTTTCGACTTACCTGACTTGAATTTTAATATTCATTCTATCCAAAGTGATCCTAATTATCAGATTTCCAAGAGATTTTTAGACAGCCTGTTGTATCTACTGTCAACACCCATTTGGGTAAAACTATAGTTTCTTACCATTACAGATTTTCTTCTTAATATCACAGTCTACAATAAAAACGCCTAGTCATTTGCTCTGAACATGTGTGTCAATGCCTGAGGCGGTTTGCATCTTTTCTTCACTAGGAGCACTGATGACCAGACTATTCGATCAAGTGATCAATACTAATACTATTGTGAAGATGTGCTTGTTATGATAGTATTTTTGAAATTTAAAATTTTTAAAATCTATATATCCAGATACTGTAGAGTTTTAAAAAGATTCATTTTAAAATGGTTCATTGCTCTGTGCCATTTTGTACATCAAATAAATTGAAAAAAGATGAAATAGTAAATCTTTATCTTGGAAAATAATAAAAGTGGCACTTCTATAAATTTTTGTATTATTTTGATAATTAATGTATATGCTATATTTAAAGAAGAAGACTAAGTAGATTAATTTTGGTAATACAAATTTGAATTGCTTTTATATGTTAAGTTATAAGGAGCCAAGAGATAGATATCAGCTTTTATTTTAATAAACGTGTAATTCAGTTGTACAAATCTTGTTTTATGCTAACATAGGAAGCTTTAGGAAGTGTGAGAATTTTTTAAAGGTTACTTAGTTTATTATATTTAAAAACAGTCATGGCCACAAGTGGATCAAAATATTTCATGATGCACCAGTTATGGCCACAGGGGTGGCCAAAAATGATGTACTAGTTTTGGCCACCATATGGATTCTTTTCATTTGCATTATTAGGGTATTATACTTATATTAGGATTTTAGTTTTTTCCAGTCAAATAAAAATAAATAGTTTTATAAGTAAGCTATACAACAATTTGCTGTGGCAGTAATATTTTTTCTATAAGTTGTCTGCTGTGGATAAAATAGTATCGATAATATAAAATAGACTTGATGGGTATAAAACTACAAAATATTTTTTCTTGGTCATTTCACTAGTTTAAAAGCTGGAATAATATTCAAAGGCTATTGACTATATATTATGCTTACTTTTTGTCAATTACAGTAGACCCCCCTATAATGCGGTAGATACATTCCACATTATACGAATTTCGCATTGTAAGAATCCTTAAATACATAAGCCAATCACAGCCCAGCACATGTGCAGTTTATGGACTACGGCTGTTTGAAAGGTTTTCTTCCATAAAATTAATCAATTCTTGACTAATTCGACTCAACATTTCCAAAACACGTATAAGTTTTTGAGAATAATCCGTATAAATTATGCTATAAACAAAAAATTGTAGGATTACTTACTGAGTGTGCACCATTCGACATCGCCATTGCTTAAGCTTGTTTTCGTCACGG